TAGACCCCGAAGACGCTTTCCGCAGACGAATTCTCCGAAGACGAATTAGACCCCAAAGACGCTTTCCGCAGACGAATTCTGATGGCAATGTTGGATCGGATTGAGCAGATATGTGCCGATGGCTGAAGATGCAGTTTATAGCAGCAGAAATCTTTGATTGCCGCTTCATGTGCTGCCATGTACGTGGAGGTAGCATGTTTATGGTCTGCGTTCCACAGCAGCCGTTGTTTATGGCTATAGGCTATAGTAGTTACCCGAAGATTTGCACATCCCGTCATGATCATCATGGCCATTGCTTCTTGGGCTCACAGCTGTGAGCTGAGCCATTGGTCGGCATGGATAGCGAAGAGGAGGAGATCTGGAGATGCCATGGATGCCATGGATGCCAGTCGGTACTCTGAGGGTCTTCCGAGGGTGGAAGTTGACCGCAGGGACTGGGAGTTCGTCCGCAGGGATGTCCTAAGTGATCCTTTTTCCAGCTTTTTTCCCCCATGGATTTGGGGTTCGGGATTGGGACCGATCGCCGGATTTTTGAAACATATTAAACAGATGCAACATGGGGCTGAATCCCCCTGAACATGCACGTTTGGGTCTTCGTTGTGGTTCTCTAGTTTTGGGATGGCACCGGCCGGGAGCAGCGCTATGGGCCTCGCTACAGGGTGCGGAGATCTCAGTGCAATCCGGCCGATGCGGACATTGCTGGGAGATTTGGCTTTGCGGGAGCTTTGTTTGTGCATCCAGAAACACGCACATGTCACATGTCTGTCTGTGTGCTTTTTCATGTCCTTTGAGCAGTTCCATGATGATGTTGCAGGTGATCCCTGAACCCAAACACCGAATTCAAAGGAGCTGGAATCCACAATCTCAGACTTCCTCACAGCCTAGACATGAGAGAACACCTAGGGTCTACATAAGAAACCAATCTTGCATATTCATCACCCAGACTCTTAAACTCCGCAGAAGTCTCTTCATGTCATTCCTTCCGGACAAGGAAACACCTTCCCATGCCCTACCCGTGGCCTCAGATGTGTGTTTTGCATCAACCGACCGATGCACCTGGCAGATGCTGTCCTGTGGCTACAATATCGAAAAAGCATCATTCAAGATATTCAAGCCCACCCTACAGAATCCATCACAATCCTGGAACCTTCTTTGTCTTCAAGAGAGAAGGTACAGTTGTTACATCATGTTACATCCATTCATGGAGTTTGTGCTGCGATATCTTGGGATATCTCGGGGTGGTTTTTGTTTGCTAGCTTTTCCTCCTGAACACACTGGAACGTTGGAACATCAACTTTTGTTTGTCAAACATGAAAGCTGGACCATAGATTTGTGGTTTGCCTCCCAGACGGCCCCTGACTAACGACTGCCATTGCTACAACATACATATTACAGAAGACACGCACAGCTGTGGAGTGTGTGTCCGGGTTTGTTAGCTGGTGGATGGTGAACATGACAAAGGATAGACTGAAATAGGTACCACCAGGACCTTCTGACCGGAAATCCAAGGTCGCATTCCCGCAGTGGTCCTGGCCGCATCGAAAAAAGTAGCGTTATCGTGGCAGCGCCGAAAATAATCATTTCGACGCTGTTGTGCCGGTGATGGCCTTGTTTGTAAGGATTTTGTTGTTTGCAAGGTCCAATGAATTGGACCCAAATCCATTGATGAAAAATGCAAGGGTCATGACAGACATGATCAAATAGATAAGTTGTATTGTTGCTTTTCTTCCCTGACTCTCATCATGTTATATCAGGTACCATCCCCAATGGAAGTGATGGCAGCTGCCGGCGCAGCGTGATATACGCATGGTTTGGAGAAAAAACCAGCCTTTGTCATGGGGGGATTGCATTCTGAGAGCAGACCATTCATACTTATCTTGAAGGTTTTGCGCATGTGTCCCCATGACGTGACTTACCCGAATATTCGACAAACTTCTGTTGGACGCGCTGGACCCATTTGGAGGCTAAGTTGAAGCTATGTTGAGTGAATTGTGGGCCCATGTTGGGCCTCATTTCAACCCAGACTCAAGGATGCCTGGCGTTTTGTATCATCTGAAGCCTATGTCAGGGTGATGGGAGTGGCAGAGTTTAGTGCAGATTTGCGCGAACAAGAGCTTCAACGCACAGGTTTACTGTTAAGGGTGCCCAGTCCCGTTTCAGTGGTACGTTGAGCTAAGTAGGAAGGCTATGTTCAATCATACCGTGCGCGGTACGGGGGGCTTCTTACCTTTTAATACAACACAATGTCCAATTGTTGCGCTGTGTGTTCTGCCATATCTTGGACATGTGTTGGGGTTGCCTGCTGCTTCAACAGTGTCAAAACGGCCCCTGCTACGAAGAACCGTTTCGTGCAGTTTGGAGCATCAGACGGGGTCCTGTCACGTCAGGGAATGCGGCGTCACAATGGGGCAATGCGGCGTCAAAGGGGCCATGTGGCGTCAGGGAATGCGGCGCCAGAATGCGGCGTCAGGGAGTAATGTGGCGTCACGGGCAAATGCGGCGTCCGGGAACGTGGCGCCACAATGTGGCGTCAGGAGGTAATGCGGCGTCAGAGGGGCAATGTGGCGTCAGGGAATGCGGCGCCAGAATGCGGTGTCAGGGGGGAATGCGGCGTCAGGGGATGCGGCGTCAAATGTGGCGTCAGGGAGTAATGTGGCGTCAGGGGAGGAATGTGGCGTCAGGGAAGAATGCGGCGTCAGGGGGTAATGTGGCGTCAGGGGGTAATGTGGCGTCAGGGAATGCGGCGCCAGAATGCGGCTAATGCGGCGTCAGGGGGGAATGTGGCGTCAGGGAATGTAACGTCGCAGTACTAGGAAAGTGGCGCCATAATGTGGCTGCAGCGTCAAGGTCAAAAGCGGGATCCCGTCTGCCGCCGCCCTGAATAAATAGACAAAGCTTAGGAGGTG